GCTGAAATTCACTGAGGTTGGCATCTTCATTAGGCCCTGTCTTCCTGATCTTTACAGGGTCTGGAAGTGTCTCTGCACCAAAATAACACCAGCACGAATCAACAAAGTGAAATATATGATCTGGTGAATGTCGTTTGCATCTACTTCTGTTATTTGTGAGCATTCAAAGGTTATAGAATATAAGAACAAAGTGCAAGGGAAGGGCCATGTGAGTTAAAATCAATTACTTAGCAGTTCAACATTGGTAAATGGTAACTAATTAGTTGATCATGTAGCTATGAAGCTTTATGGTTGCATATGGATGAATGCATGATTTGTGGGTACTGGGTAGTATTTATTCGATAATCTATCAAAAGAGGATTTTTTTGCTTATTGATACATAAAGTGAGATCATAGTCCAATTAGTTGATCAAGGATACTAACCTGGGCAATCAGTCCTTGGTTCTTTCCTGGTCTGAACAATGCCCTCAAAGGTTCCAGCCCAAGCATCTCTCTTGGTCAGGAATGAAGGCAAGTTAAAGAGTTTTTTTACTGTTGCTGGAATAGATGAGTGTTCATATTCCGATGTAGGAGACGGTGACCCATTTGGCCCATGCACAACTGTATCACCATAATAACAAATCAGAAAACCTTGTACAGTTACCAATAAGTTATAGCTTTGCTTAGGAGAGAAATGAAATTCATTAGTTCCATTCAGGTGGACACTAAAATTATACCAATATACTGTTAATTTCAGCAAAATGCCTACATGCACCGTTAATTGTTTACTCACATGTTTCATTAATTTTTTTATTATAATTTCTTAAGTTTTCCTCTATTGTTTATGAATAAATAATTAATATTAAGAATTTTCCTTAAGATAATTTAAGCAATTATAATCTAACTTATTAACCCATCATATTATTAACTAAGAGAGAATCATCTCATTCAACTTTTGTTGTCCTATTTGTCTTGAACTCATGATAGAGCCCAGAAGTTTCCTCCCTGGCTGCATGTCCATAACTAACTAGAGGATCCTGTATTTCATGTAAGGCACCAAAACTCAAGAGCTTTTCTATCAAATTTTGGCTTTCAGCTTCAGCATATACCTTTGTACCTAAAAATAATAACTGTTTTCCCCTGCACAAGCCTTACTACCTTATTATCAATTTATATCCCCCTATTGCTATCTTTTCAACACTAGAACACATATTTCAGCCCACTTCAAGATTTTATTTTGTTTGTTTTTTAATCATAACCTACAGCACATGGTGATATATCAATTTAATATTTCAGGAGTGATGTATTAATCCACCCAAAACACCTTAGATAGCACATTTCTGAGCCTTAACCAATAAGTCAACAATCCATAATGATAAGATTTGGATCTTCATCACATAATTTCCCTGCATTATTGGTCCCTTGGTTTTGCTATAAGACATGTAGCAACTACTTTACTTGCACACTATGAACTAGCAAATTCAAAGATCAGTTTCTTTTCTTGTGGGTGTGTGATTTGTCATTGTTAGGAAATATCCACACTAACAAGGTTTCACATTGTGCTAGTTTACAACTGGAGATTGAGATGAAAAAAGCACATGGTCCCACTCAGCACCGCGTCCCACATTATGTGTATTGTCTGTTTCTGAAGTTAGTGTAAAAAATGAATTTTTGCGTGTGAGCTTATGATTGGTGAGTCGTGCCTAACTTTAAAGCAATTTATTTTATTGAGATCATGAACGCACAATCTGTGTGAAGTCAGATGAGGTGTGCATGGAAAGTGTGAGATGAGAATGGAATATTTTACTAGTTTTATTCTCTTACAAGTTGGTAGAGCTATAAATCATCATATTAATAGTGCCTAACAGAAAACATTTAGTGAGGAGGGAGAAAAACCCATACATTGTGCACAGGATAAGAACAGAACAGAGAGAGAAAAAAAAAAAAGTAGAATCCAAACATGGCAAAAGAATACTCAATATAAACAAGATGTGACTTTCATAATGATAAGCATTATGTAGGTCATTAGGTCTTTTTATTAATGAAATGACTAAATCAACCAGGCATAATTTGTGTAAATCTAAAAATAATAATAAACTTTTATAATATTGTATATAAATCATTATTTAGTTTATTTACTTTATATATACTAGTAGGTTAAGACATTTTATATTTTTACATTTTTTTTAATAAAAGTGTTTAAAAATTATCAATGTTTATTAAATTAATTAATGTTGAATTTGATTTTCAAACTTTAAGATTTCAGATTCAAATCTTGTGATTGTAAAGATAATTAATTCTTAATATTCTTTTTTATTATTTAAAATTTAAAAATTTAAAAATTGTCTAAAAATATAGATATCAAATCATCTTCTTTTATATATGTTATAGATACCTATATATAAAGGAAATTTCCTTTAGTGTAAACTTTATTTAAGACAATTTTAATTTTTTGAATAATAACCTTTTAAATAAAAATAAAAAACTATTAAATAAAAGTTATGAAAGATTACAAAAATCATCATATATAACTAAGGTGAAAGAAGTACTTGGTATCTCTAAATATTTTTAAAAAAAAATAAAAAAAAATATATTATAGTATAAGCAATTATTCAAAGTTGATTAATGATGATTACTATTTTTTTAATAATTGAGAATATAATCATCACAAATTGTGAAGACAAAAAATAATAACAAAAGAAATATTTTCTTTATACATTAATACAGATTAGTGTTGATAATATACTCCATATTTATTTGTTGTTAATTATTAATTTGTAACATTAGATACTCTATATGCATGCTACTAATTATTGAGTATTAGATATATAATATAATAATAATCGTAATATAAATAATAAAATAGTAGTAATGTTTACTATACCTGTGCCCTTTTCGATCCAAGGTGAGATAGCAATAGTGGGAACCCTGACTCCCAACCTATCAAAGGTGAAGTTAAAAGGCTCGGGGCCCACAATCCCATCAGGGCTGGGCACCCCACGCACGGGCGTGGGCACGTGATCGAAGAACCCACCATGCTCGTCGTACGTGATGAGGAACAGGGTCTGGTTCCACTGCGGGCTCGCCCTCACCGTCTCGTACACCTCCTTCACGAACTTCTGCCCCTCGTACACGTCGTGCGACGGGTGGTCGTCGTTCGCCGGGATCAGCTTCGTGTCCATGTACCGCTGCTCCACCACAACATAGTTCGCCAACTTCCCCTCCTTCGCGTGCTGCTTAAACGACAAGTCGTATAGGTGGAACTTCGGCACGTACTTCAGCTTCCTTAGGTTGCGGTAGAATAGCGTCGCAGGAATGTTCTGGTAGTATATTCCGAAGTCCAGTCCCGCCTCGTACAGGCTGTCGAAGATTGTCTGCTGCGAGTACCCCGCCGCCAGCTTCGCCGCCACGTTGCTGGTGGCGCCGCCGGAGGTCGCCGAGTGCACGAATAAACGGTTCGGTTGCGTCGAGGCCGGCACGGAGGCGAACCACCTATCAACGCCAGAATCGTGTTCGGTAAGTAAACCCTCTCTTTTTTTTTTCTCCTTTTTCGTTAATATTTAATTATTTTAAGAAAATAAAGCTAATAATCGCATACCAAATTTTAGTAGGCAAAAAATGGTATAATTTTCATGCAAAATAACTTTACAAAATAAATACATCTGAGAAATTAATATGATGATAGCCGTGAATATGACACGTAAAATAGTTGATAGAGACGCTCTAGTAGAAAGGGTAATTAATTAAGATTTAATTATTTTATATTAAGTAAAGTGGTAGTACATTATGAAAGTTAAGGAAGGTGGAAAATAGAGAGGAAGGTGATGGTGACCTATCGAAGACGGCAAAGTGAGAAACGAGCGTTTTGTAGACAGGAAGCATGTCAGGGTGGAAGCCGTTCATAACATTGTGGGACATTTGGGAGGTGTTGTCCATGGAGAAGGCCTGTTGGGCGAAGCCGTTCATGGGAGCGGATTGGGCCGAGGAGTGGTTGGAGCCGAATATCTGCTCGCGGATGGCCTGGAAGGAGTGGCCCGGATCGGGGTCGACGTATTGGGCCTGGTTGTTGAAGAAGAAGCGCTTGGAGTTCGGGTCGGAGGTGTTTAGCGGGTTGGACTCGGAGCCTGTGACGCCGTTGATGTTGGGGTTGAGGCTCTTCATCCAACCGAGCATGTGGTCGAAGGAGCGGTTCTCCATTACCAAAACGACGACGGTTTTGATGGGGTTGGAAATGGCGTTGGGGAGGTGGAGGAGAAGAAGAAAAGTTAGGAGGAGGGAGAAGTGGATGTTGCGTTTTCCTCTTCCTCTTGGGGTACCCATTGTTTTAAGTGAAGGAGAGGTTTTTGGGTTTCTGTATTCTTTGGGAATGAGAGAGGGGATCGTTTATACTGTATACATAGAGAGAGAGAGAGAGCCACATGGGAATGGATATTTTTCGCTGCATGAGGTGAAATATCGAGTATATTATTGTAATATTTAAAATTAAATAAATAATATGGATGGATTGTTAAAGATTTATAGAAAAAATAATAATTAAAAAGGTAAAGAGAGTTATTTAATAATAGGCTTAAATATTTTTTTATTTTTTAATATTAAAATAAGTTTATTTTTTATTTTTTATTTTAAAATTATTTTTTTTAGTCATTGTAATTTTTAAAAATCTCATTTTAATCCCTCAAGTCACCAATAACATATTTAAAAGTAAAAAATTGAGATAATTATACAACATTAATTGAATTTAATGTGATGTATTCACTAATAAGGATACTAATAAGTAGATTTTAATTTTCTAATAAAAATTAAATATAAAGACAAACAAGATTTTTAAAAATTAAAAACACAAACTCTTAAATTTGAAGAACTAAAAATAAATTTGTCATAAATTTAAAAACCTAAAAAATATTTGTCTTAAAACTAGTTAAATATGAATGAGCAATAAAATTAAAGAGTGTGAATTATTTTAGGTAATTAATTATTTCTTTTGGCCTTTATTAAACAACTCAAATAACTAATTTATCAAGATTTAAAAAATTATTTTATGATTAATAAATATCTAAAAAAATTATATTTTTCAAAATTACCCTTAAATTAAAAAAGATACTTAATAGGTAGTATATGTTTTCAAAGATTTTACATTTGAAGAATAAAAAATAAGAGACTACGTATGTTTTAAGAGGTATATATTAAATAAATTTTAATTATTTGTTGAATTCTAAAATGCATTTAATAAGATTAATTTTATAAAGTAAAAAAAAATAATATTTGAGATATAATAGATTGTATAAAAAGGATCAAATCAATTTTAAAATTTAGACTTATAATAAGGACAACAAAGAATAGAGAGTGTAAGAAGTTTAAAAAATAAATTTACAGAATAGATAAAAGGATGAAAAAATAAACAAAATATTATAAAAAAGTGTTTTGAAAGTTACATGAACAAAATAATGGGAAAAAATATACACAAGAGAGCATATCGCTTTTATTAATAATTAACACGAAAAAAAAAAGTCATTTCATATTTCTTAAGTTAAAATATATAAATTATAGATAATAAATTGGATAGTTACTAAAACATTTTTATTTTTTAATTTTTTCTCTAAAAATTGAAAAGTGTAATGATGTAACAAAATGTGAAGATTAAAAACATTTATAAAATGAAATATCCCCTTTATATAATATATTAATAAGGAAAAGAGACATTTCGTAGTTCTTAAATTTTTAAAATTTAAAAATAAAATTTTAAAAAATAATGAAATAAATTGTTGTAGGAAATTATCTCGAAAAATATAAGAAGTTATTTCATTTTTCTTTCTTAAAATTTGAGGGTTATAATGATTTACTAAAAAAATGAAGGCTAAAAGTAGTTACTCACATTTCTTTCCCTTTATAATAGATTAGATAATCTATATATATAACATATATAAAAGTAATAATCTGATTTGGTGTACACTTTTTTTTAGACAATTTTACTCTTAAATTTTTAAATAATAAAAAATAATATTAAAAATTAACCATTTTTACAAACATAAAACTTAAACTCAAGACTTCAAGGTTTGAAGATCAACTCCAACACCAATTGATCTAAAAAATATTAATAATTCTTAAATATTTTTATTAAATAAAATATAGAGACAAGAAGTGTCTCGACCTATTGATAAACGTGTGGAGAAAAGACACACACTAAAAGGGAGTTAAATAGTTTGTATTAAAATCTCGCACGTTTGTGCAGTGAAGAGAAAATAACTTAACAGACAAAGCATTGGAAAATAGTCAAATGAAGCATAGGATATTTTTATATTGATTCGTCTCAACAATCAAGACTATGTCTAGTTTTTAATCCAACCAAATTGAGTTTCACTAACTTTTACAAAGTTACAAGTATACTTTTACCAAGCCACTTCTGACTCAAATATAAGTAGTCTTTGACTTACCTTTTCAAACAACTACTCAAGTATTCTTTCAACAAGGTTTTCTAGGCACAACATCAAGTATTCTTTCAACCAAGCCTCTCTGGACTCAAACACTAAGTATTCTTTCGTACAAATCTCTCTAGACTCAACTTCAAGTATTCTTTTGCACAAGCCTCTTTAGACTTAACCCTTACAATCAAAGGTAATGAATGATTACAAGATTAATTCGTCTCTTCTAAATATGATGTAATAAAAAATAAAAGCACAAGTAATCTACAAAGAACTACATACAAGATTTACATTGAAAAGTTTCTTTATAGTGTTTTAGCTATGTATGTTTCAGTATGCTTCTCAATACAAACTTCTCGATGCGTATCACTTCTATTCAGTATATGTTACTCTCTTTTTTTACAAAACTTCTTTCTTGTTATTTGAAGGCTTGTTACTTTTGTAGTAGCTTTAGAGAGGATGACTGTTATAACAAATTTGAGTTGAACTTTCAATTTGTTTCACTAGTTGTTTCGTCTGTCTTCTTTACTAATCTTAGAAATTATCATTGATGCATATGCCTTTCAGAAAGACGTGTATCTTTTATCTGATCTAACAGACTACTTATCGTCATTTCCTTCTAAATTGAGTATGGCAGAAGTAATGTCAACGTAAAGTAGTTGAAGTCAACACAAAGCAATCTTTTGTAGAGTTTTTTTTTTTCTTGATATTCGAGATTTTGCTTTTTTAATTACTTCTCATATATATTTTGTCATTTTCTTCCTTAACGACTTTTGATGGTTTCAATACATCTTTATTGTTCATTTTGTTAAAGAATAACACATTTAATGAAATTTAATGTTAGTCTCATTTTGAAAGTATTTATTTAATGCATAGAGCCAAACTGTATGTTTTGTCTGATTTCCTTCATCTTATAGATGATATATATATTTTTCACATTTCGTTTCATATAGTATATCTTTGTAGATGTTTGAGTTTGTTTATGTGAGACCCCCACCTTCGTTTTCCTTTTATTCCCCAACCTTCATCACTCTCAACTCTCAAACTCTCACTCACTCTCATTCTCACTTGTTGAAATCTTCTTTGGTGAGCTTAGGTGCTAAGCAAGCTTAGGCAGAACGAGCTAGTCGTGCGAAGCTTCTCCTTCTTCTCCATTTCTTCCTCTTCATTGTTCTCCTTCTTCACGGAGCTCGGATTCTCGCGCCAAGATAAGGGAAGCTAGGATTTTCTTGCCGGTTGTTTGTTTTGGTGAGCTAGAAACTCACATGATGGCTGATTGTTGCAGATTGATGACTGAGATTGATAAAAATGGAGTTTTGGGGTTTTCGGGGTTTTGGGTGAAATTTGTGGATTTTTCCTTGTTTGTGATTGCATGTGTAAAAAGATGATGTTTTTGAGCTGTTTGGTGATAATGTGGCATTTTGGATGGTTTGCATGTGCTTGAAATGTTGATTTTTGCAAGTCTTGGGCAAGATTTTCGAACTTGGTGAGTTGTTGCTAGGCATCACGCCGGGCGCAGTTCTTCGCACCGGGCGCGTGACCACCAGAGGACTTCATTGGGCAAGCCCGCCGGGCGCAAGGTTGTGTGCGCCGGGCGAGCTTGAGAATGTGAGCCTCTGGACGGCCCAAGATGGGCGTGGTGGGACTGTGCTGGGCGCGATATCAGGAAGTAACTTGGTATTTTGTGGTTCTGGTGTGGCGTCGGGCGTGACTCTATCTCGTCGGGCGTGGAGACTCTTTGGGAGTTTCTACCAGAGGTTGCGCCAGGCACAATTGATATTGTGCCGGGCGTGATACGTTGGGGAGGTCTCTACTTAACTTGCGCTGAGCGCGGGTTAGCACGCTGAGCATATGAGACCTTTTGAGGTCTCTGTCTCCTAGCATGGTGGGCGCAATAGGTATTGCACCGGGCGCGATTGAGCCTTGATGCTCTCTGGTTATGCCACGCGGGGCGCGACCATGAGTGCACCGGGCGCGGATGATATGTTGTCTTATATGCTATTATATGTTGATATATGATGAATTATGTTGAAATTGCTGATAAATGTTGTTCCATACTGAGCTGAGCTGTAGTTGATGTATATTGTTATTTTGTAAGTTGTTTAGCTGTGCTGTAATGCTGTCATTATTGTATGTTGATTTACTGTGTTGTGTTGTATGCTGATATAAGCTGTTGTAGGTCGTAAGGCTGAGCTGTAGTAGGCCGTAAGGCTGAGCTGTTGTAGGCCGTAAGGCTGAGCTGTTGTAGGCCATAAGGCTAAGCTGTTGATCACTAAGACTAGAGGAGATGTTTTCAAAATTTTCTCATCCCATTGTGTGGATTGAGCGGCTGTGGTGCTCTTAGAGCCCAATTTGTTGAAAACCCTCCCTGGAAAGCTGACCCTTGGAGTGGTAACTTGCTGTTCTCCTCTAAGTTCTTAGTGGTCCCGTGTGTGAGCAAGGTCGAGGCACACGTGTACAAAGCAACCACGGTATAGGGGCCAGGTCGAGTTATACCGCTTACAAGCGACCAAATCTAGCTGATATGCGTGACGACTCATTTGTGTGTTTACTGCTGTTTATACTGATGATGTGCTGATAATTGTAGTTGTTCACATTTCTTATATATGTTTTATATGTTGATTTTTTTCACTAGCTTACCCTTTGTTGTTTTCATGTGGTTTGGACTGCGATGATCATATTATGTATTGGAGCATAGCAGGGTTAGGTTGGTGTGCTGAAGTGGGTCTGCAGCTGGCAGATGGAGTTATTCTTTTGTTATTTTTAGCTACTTAGTGTAGCATTGCTAGATGTATTTTGTATACTTTGTTTCTTAGCTCAGATTTGGACCTTGTGTATATATATATTTTAGATGTTCATATGTATATACTTGTTCCTTTCTGAGAGGCGTTGTTTTTGTTGTGCTGTGTGTGGTGACTAGCCGGGTCGTTACACTTTAGTGGTATTAGAGCAGCTCGAGTCTAGTGGACACTCTGTGGGGGTGGTTC